AACTCTAAAATACATGGGAGTGAATTTTTGACCAATTAAACAATTCCGTAGTAAATAGCAAAATCGGCTATTTACAAGTACGTTATATGTAAGATATGAATGGACATCAAATCCTACTTTCTGCTTTCGCTTTGAAAGTGCATATTAATCATTGGGAAAAGTTCCATCCCATTTATCACTATCTGATGATGATTCTGAGGACCGCTGTGCAGAGCTTTCGCATTGTAAAATAATAGGACAAGAACAAACACAACACATAGGGGAGGGGCAAAAGTATTGCACACTTTTATACTTATGATATTGAAAGAATTTTTATATGTAATAAAAAAACTAACTTTTGTATCATCTACTGTACCATTTGCCTAAACGGAAAAAAAAACACACTATTTTTTACCATGGCGCACAAATGAGTTTTGACAAAGCGCTTACTGATTCTCCAAAAGGTGGATTACAATGATGCAACAGTCGCAAAAATGATAAAATGCCATCGCACGACGGTTCAACAGTTTTTTGCAGCCTAATCAGGAACATCTTCGCAAAACGATGCCACCGCATTCTCTCAATCAGCGGAATCGACAAAAATTAAAAACCGCTGTTACTGCCGAACAAAAACACGACGAAAGTCTGAGAATTACTAATACTAAAGCAATTTCTAAAGTTAAAAACCGACGATTTTCCACAAGAATAGTTCACCGTGCACTTCACAAAGAAAATATGCGTTCGTGTATTCCTTTAAAAAGCTCTCATCTTAGAAAAAATTCGACTCGAGTGGGCAATGGAAAGGAAAGAATTGGACTGTTGCAAACTGGAATAAAGTCATATGGTCGAAATCTACTTTCTCTCGCACAGAAAAAAATGCAATCTTCAGCCTTCAAATGTTCACAAACTTGAGAAGGCAGCAAAAGAAGAGTGTAATGCGCTTCTGCAAAAGTATATTGTAATCTATGCCCAACCGTATTCAAGCTGTGATTGCTGCAAATGAAGGAAATACTAACTATTGACGTTTACTTTAAGTAAATAAAATTTTTTTTTTGGTTTGATAAAAAAAACTTTTTCAATATCATAAATATAAAAGTATGTCCCCCTTGTACTCGCGTAAAAATTAATGCTAATTATTATTATACGTCTGTACCACAAGGGTTTTATCATGTGTTGTCGACCACACTTTTATACACTAGTCCAAATTAGTCCGTCAGCGTTTAGAATAGATTTTTCCTGTGCATCCGCCGTTTTCACCGCATTATTCCGTCATCTACTGCTTTTCCCGCAATACTTCGAATTATTATCACGGTTGTCTAGGTTAATTTTTAGGGAAATATGGTATTTCTGGACATAAGTCATTGTTCACATCTTACGTTGTGGGAGTTTCGACAATTCAAATAATTGATGTGTGATCTGCGTGCCACATTTCATGGTACGGGACTGCAAGAGTCAACGCGCCTGATTCCTCTTTCGTTAAGAGTAATGTCCCACTCTGTTGAGTACAGCGTTCCATCTCCTGGAGACGGCTTCTCTTTTAATGGGCGTTGCGATATTGGTATAAGTTTTCCTCCCGAGTCAAGTTTAAAAGTGTTTAGATGCTTGTTGATTATAAATAATTATAAATAGCAAATCAGAAATATGGACACGTGCTTGTTCGGTGCGTGCGAAGAAATATTTGTCTGCACGCCCCAACATACTGTCGATCATATGCATATGCGGATCACGGGACATGTCCGCTGAGTTAATATTAATATTAATGGTAATAGTGAATAAGATTTAGCCCAAAAGAGCAATAAGCGTGTAACAGCAAAAAAGCTATCGTTTACTGGTCAAAAATGCAAATTAATGTCACATGAGTGGATGTTCATAAAGAATGTTCATAAAGTTTCTCGCGATAGAAGTTGATTGAGAATCCTCCCGATTGCCTTAAACGTTCTAGGTCGACTCGGATATGAGCCAGCCAATCGAATCGACTGTCCTCGACGACAGAACTGTGCCTCATGAGGAGGTTGAGTATCCTAACGAGATTATAACAGCAACCAAGAATATTGAGACTAATGGCCACTTTAAAGAAGCCATGCCACTTACAGAACACGCTCTTAGTTTGCTTGCGTCTACAGAATCACAGAATTTCCTTCATGATCAAACTATTCATTCGACCCCAGACTTTGATTCAGATTCAGACTCGAGTCTGGGCTCTTTGGAAACTCTCAGTTCGAGTGGTCTAGAAAGTTTAGCGGCGGAAACTTTTGAAACTGTCAAATTAAGTCCTAAAGTATCAACGCCAACCAATAATACAATCGTCCGTCAGCATCGACGAGGAAAACGTGTCCGTGATGATAAATCCTATTCAGACAATCGGAGAGCAAGCACACGTGCCAGCCGTGTAAATGCTTTGGAATCAAATTCAAAGAGGCGTTCTAAACGAATTCGTACTGGAAGGCGTAAACTTGCTCAAGCAAATGCTGGCCCCAAACAAGCGCTGACTTTAGCAGAGAAGAAACTATGTGATAGTTGTCACGCAATACATCTTGATGTTATTCAAGTTTATGATCTCTCTTTATGTTCATATTGCCGTGGTGTATTTTACGATAACATAGGTGTAAGACGATCTCGATGTGCTGGTCAATCCAGATTTGATCAATTTAAACGCGTTAAAGTACTCTGTCGCGATAACAAGTGGTATCCAGGAGTAGTGATGGAATATAAGCAGGAACGTTTTAAAGTACACTTTGATGGATGGGATGAGATCTATGATGAATGGATACCAACGAATAGTCGAAGAATGCGAGACGTAACATTAGAAGAATTTCTCGGACGCCAACAGTCGTCCGATGACGTTCCCGCGCGTAAGGTTGCAGAAATCAACTCTGGATCTGACGTTGAGATTGATTTGACAGCAGATCTTCAGCTCACCCCAACAACCCCAACAGCAGAGGTACAGTCAACTGGCACAGATGACCAGACATCTCAGCTTCGACGAGGAAAACGTGCTCGTGGTGATAAATCCTATTCAAACAATCAGAGATCAGGCACTCGTGCCAATAGTTTGGCATCAACGTCAAAGAGGCTTTCTAAACGAATTCGTACTGGGAGGCCTAAACTCGAATATAGCGCTCAAGTTAATGCCATCCCTGAACAAGCGTTGACTTCGGCAGAGAAGAAACTATGTGATAGTTGTCACGCAATACATCTTGATGTTATTCAAGTCTATGATCTCTCTTTATGCTCATATTGCCGTGGTGTATTTTACGATAACATAGGTATAAGACGATCTCGATGTGCTGGTCAATCCAGGTTTGATCAATTTAAACGTGTTAAAGTACTCTGTCGCGATAACAAGTGGTATCCAGGAGTAGTGATGGAGTATAAGCAGGAGCGTTTTAGAGTGCGCTTTGATGGATGGGACGAAAGCTATGATGAATGGATACCGACAAATAGCCGAAGAATGCAAGACGTAACACTGGAAGAACTTCTCGGACTCCAACAGTCGTCCGACGACGTTCCAGCGCGTAAGGCTGTAGAAACCGAGACTGAATCTGACGTTGAGATTGATTTGACAGCAGATCTTCAGCTCACCCCAACAACCCCAACAGCAGAGGCGCAGTCAACTGGCAGTGATGATCAGACGTCTCTTCCGGCTCCTCTGACTCCTAGCTCTACTGACGATGGTTTCGATTGGCGTGAGCTCTATCTTAGACGCAGTCCGCGTAAACGTGGTCATAAAAATAAAGCTCCCTTCAGGTACGACGAAGACAGCTTTACCAATCAAGCGGAACTTAAAGCTCGATTTCGTCCTGGTGCCAAGGTGGAAGCCCGCGATAAATGGAGAGAATGGCATTTTGGTCGGGTTATACAAGCGAAGGGATATCGTGTGTTGATACATTATGATGATCTCCCAAGCGTTTATGACGAATGGATCGATATGAACAGTGAACGGTTGAAGGGCGGATATGAACCGGGGGAGGGGCCCGATGACGATGAAGGCGACAGGAAGAAGAATATTGGCAAAGCGAAGGCTATTCAAGAAGAGGATTGGGAATACGTGAAAAATGGAATTAAATATAGCAATGGACGAACTAAATGTGTGTAAGCGTATCTGTTTATTTATTTTTTGATTAACTAGGATAATTTGTCATATTGTTTGATAAGACTGTTTTCTTTTTTTGAGTCGTTAGCTTTGTGGCTTCCCGAAATTCTTTGTCTTTTATTTCTTCCTTACGGGGTCTCATTGGTCTCCTTCCGTTCTTTGTTGAATATTCGTTAACTGTCGTCGATCTTGCTAATGAGTCACCGATGACATACGGCTATGACGTGCCTTTTTATAGACTTGAAACAGTGGTGTATTTACTGTAACCAATGCAACATCGTTATCAAGCAGTTCAGGTAAATTGATTCCTTTACTAGCCTTTTTTTATTCATTTTCGTTCGCCTGAAATTTATTATCTGAGCAAACAGGGTTTATTGCACATACTGCGAACGACCTTCGGATGGATATGACTATCAAAGTTTCGATCTGTGTTTATGGTAATTAAGTCTATTCTTCGGTTAGATTGAAATGTTGAGAATTATACGTTTTTATACCAAAATATAATATCTCACCATAAATACTTTTCAGGTGCTATGCTCACAATTTTCCTGACTTTCATGACCACCCTCGCTGTTCATTTGCCGTACAGACAGTAATAGGCGATCAAGCACCACAAATTACCTCAAAAGGAGATCTTGTTTCTACATTTGAAAAAGACATGATTGATGAAACTTATTCCACTGCTCATCTTGACTTGTTGAATAGTACTAAGCCACTCGTAGGAGATACAGGGTATATGTACTTGAAGGCATGGAGATCAAGAAGAATATGTGGGTTTTGTAATGACGACGACAACAATCATCTTGGTGGATTTATTGGTCCATATCCCTTTATCTCATGTGCGGCTACACGCCATGGTGAGCGAAAGAAGATTTTCTGGAGCCACTATGCGTGTGCCAAGTATTCTCCAGAGGTGTTTCAGTCAAAAGATAATGTATGGTACAACGTGACCACTGCTTGGCGGCGTGGAAGAGGAATGGTACGTATATTTGTTTTATTCACAGAACTATTTATGCTGACATATGTCACCTGTTTATATTAATGAGACGGCGTGCTTAATGTATTTAAAAAATCAATTAACTTGTGCAGAAATGTAGCAAGTGTAAAGAACGGGGCGCAACTATAGGTTGTTTTGAGCCCAAATGCACCAGGAGTTTTCATCTTCCATGTACAGATAAGCCACTTGAACATTTTGAAATGGGAGTTATTTTCTATTGCCCAACACACGAAGCATTCTACGACAAAAGAGGTACGGATCAAGTGAAGTTATTTATTATTTTGCGCGTTAAACTTGTTATATAACGCACGTATTTTTAACATGAACCTTAGAGGAATATAATGAACTCTTTCGATGTGACGTGTGTGCACAAGAGATGGATACAGACAAATGGTGGACGTGCAAGCCTTGCAGCACGCGCTTTTTTAATTCTTTCGATTTATGTCCTAAGGTTAATTTTACTTAAAACGAGTGGTATCTGTAAGAACTCAACGCAAGATTCATCCTGCTCACATCATTTGTCATTGAACAGTGCTATACTGGCCAGTTTCCTGAACATGAGCATGCCAAGGAATCATTTGAAGAAATATGTAAGTCAATCGACTCCTTTGATTAACAAAGATGACTTTGGTAAATTAACAGACGTAAATAATAGCATTACAGAAGATTAAAGATGAGAGAATAACAAGACAAGCAAAAATCGCGGTTGCCAACCAAAAAGCACGGGCTACAGGTACTTATGAATAGCTTAATAACCCATTGTGATCGTGTCGACTGATGTTCTGTTCCGTAACAGGGATACGCAAAAGACCAAAGCAGTTTCCGCAGAAAAAAGAACGTATTCATTGCTCATATTGCTGGTCGGAAGAATCTTCCCGATGGCGCAAAGGTAGATATCAAACAATTTATTATGGTAGATCTTCATATATCTTACACTTTCTTTGTATTATCTGTACTAGGTTATGAAGGAGTTTTAATGTGCGAGGATTGCTTTGAAGTAGCCCTTGTAAATAACTCTGCTTCAGATTCTCATCTGGGTGCTGAATATGTAACCTCTTTCGAAGATTATATCCACGCACCATACCTTACGCGTACATCAGTAGCCGCCAGTAAATTTGATAACTCCATATCGCAAGCTCGCTATTTAGACAACTATGAACCATTAGAAAATCAACTATTTTCTCTTCCCTTTGATTCATCGTACTTTGACATTCCCGGACGAGCACCGCGGTGGGCAACACATAGTGGAACGGATTACCATGGTACATGGCTTCCACAGACTGTACGTCGTGCGTTACAGCGTTATACTCGAAAGAACGATAGAATACTGTCAAATTTCCTTGGTCGTGGAACGGATGCTATCGAATGCTTTTTACTATCCAGACGGTGTATTGGAATTGATATAAATCCGGCTGCTGTTGCATTGTCACAACGTAATTGCTCTTTTGCGATACATCCTGGAAAGGGCATCACCGCTGAGCATCGACCAATTATCGTACAGAGTGACTCTCGCGAACTGAGGGGCAGTCTATTTGAAGATGAGAGCTTTGATCACGTATTGAGTCATCCTCCATATAAGAACTGGTAAGTGAAAAAAAAAAAAAAAAGAAGAAGAAGAATTATGTAGTTCGATATTACGTCATATTTACATTTTCGTATTGATCATCCTAGTGTTGAATATTCAACCCATATTGATGGAGATTTGTCGAGATATGCTAATTCGAAAGATTTTAACCTCGAAATGCAAAAAGTAGTTGACGAGTCTTGGAGGTATGCATATGAAATGGGTGCTGCCGGTTGTTATTATTATTGACGCTGATATACATATATTTGTACCAGGCTATTAAAGCCAGGCCGTAGAACTACGCTGGGAATCGGCGATAACCGCGAACAATGCTTCTATATTCCAGTTAGCTTTCAATTGATTCGTGAATATATTAATCGAGGTTTTCTCCTCGAAGAATTGGTATTTATCGTTATAGTATACCTGATTTTGAAGCAAGCAACGAAATTGTAATGACAATATTACCATCGACTATTATCTTCTTAGGTGGTGAAGCGCCAGAGATACTGTTCTGCCTTTGGACTTGGGACATACCTGTGTACACAATATGACTTTTTGATGTTTACGCATGAATTCGTTGCAACTTTGAAAAAGGTCGACCGGGAGAGTAATGATAGGATGCTATTAAATCCAAGTATGGTTTTATTACCGAGATGTCTACTTGATGAATTATCCTATTCAGAATGCTAATATTTAAATTTTTTAGCAAGCATGGGTTACCCCAGAGTATTGGGACTTGTCAACTTCTCAAGGATTGTACGAGAAATACCTTCTCTACCCATTGCACGAAAGAGTGTAGTGATGGGGACAACATGGACATTCAAACCTACAGCTAACCATGATTTTGTACTTCTTTGCACGTCGAGAATGGTAGAGCGTTTTGGCAGAGATTCGGCCAATTGGGAAGAAATCAAAATAGAATTTAACAATATAGAAGTAAGGACAATTTGATATAGAGTTGTAATTACAAGCGATTTCACTAATTAACTGTTTTTATATTACCAGCAACCAACAGATGATAACGGCCAACCAAGTTTCGTGCAGGAAATTGGTAGGATACCAAGACATAAAGTAAAGACCGATGAAGACGACCTTTTGTTTATTGACACTTCCCAATTTTCGCATAGTCCCAATGATTATTGAAGACGAGAACATTCCAGAATATGAGCGAGCACGCCTGAAAAGAATACGAGAAAACCAAAAAAAGCTTCTTTCATTGGTAGGCCTGATTCTATCTGTAATTCTCACAAACGTATCTTTTTTTTTGTTGCACTAAATATACTTTGGTCAATCGCAGGGCTTAATATCAGATCTAAGTGAAGAGTCGGATGATCTTTCTCACGTCGAAAAATTGCTTTCTCTCGAAGCACTCCCGCCACCGACACCAATAGCACTTATTGTCATTCCTCACATCCCTAACTCTGTTCTCATCAATCATGACATAAAAGACTATCGCATCGCGACTATGCATCTTGCTCGTGAATCATACGAGAAACTTCCTCCGTCCGGTTTTCTTATAATAGGTACTCAAGACGTGCGTACAAGAGATAATAAATTATGGCCATTGGGATTGTTAGTGTTGGAAGATGTGAAGGCAGCGGTTGGAGAAGATAAGATGCCATTGAAAGAGTTAGTCATTACTGTTCCCGAGGGATATGCCAAAGATAGGCGGAAGATTACATCATACGAAGAATATGCCGAAGAAAAGTGTGTTCTGGATGAAGAAAACATTAACGAGCTACCAATTGTGCATGTAAGTTTCGGTGAATTCAGGTGACTTGTTCATCTGTATATTTGTTAACGTTTTTCTTTTGTACAGGCATGTTATCTCGTATTCATGAAGCTTCGATAATAATGAATTGGGACTTAGAAACCATTTTAGAATTGCAAGTGTGATAAAACTCATCTGTATTGATACAAAGTTCATTTATTAATGAAATAAACTAATTGCTTGAATTATATAACTTAAATTATCTCTGATGTCTAATACTATATACAAAAAAATAGTTAGAGAGAGAGCAAAAAAAAAAAAAAGAAAACAAAGAAAATGACAAAACTTCTCTACTTTACTTTAATGTCTAATCCAAAATTTTTTTAATTAAAAAAGAAAATCCCGAACTTTACTTTTTCCATCCCTTTTGAGCTCACAAATTCATCTTTTGTACAACAACTGCTCAAGAATCACGGCCCATAACACAATCCAAGCAGCCATCAAAAGAGCCTTTACATCCCATCCATGGTATTCCCCAATCCGAATGGGCGCTTCATCCTTGCGATAATATCTGATTTCCGGTGAACTTCTGAATTTTACGATACGCAGCGGCCCGGTTCGACGTGGTCTTGTTACGTTTTGATATGGAGTAACCAAGATGTCTCCATACTGCTCCCAAAAGAAGTCGAGGTGAGCGGGTTGGCGAAACTCGAGAAAGCTGACTCTTCTAGATAGCCCACTTTTTGGTAACATGACGGGTTCAATGCTGTTCCAAAAGTTTCCTATTGCGCTGTCATCCGAGATGCTCGACCGGCGTTTTTTATGGAACGCTGGGTCCCTTTTCAGTTTTGGTGGTGCATGTTTGAGAGGGGAATTGAGACAGCTTGTTTGGGGAACTTGTTCAAAGAAAGTCTCTACTTCCTTTTCCCACATAGCAAACATGTGGAAACTCATTTCGATATTCCCCCAGGGTACTTTTATTGACGCGCTTGCAGAGAAAGACTATCCATAAAAAGAAATATTAAAAAAATTTTTTCTTATATTCCTCCAATGAAACTAAACTTTTTCAATTCGGGAGTCTTACCACCACCAACATTTCCTGTTCGGATGGATTGTAACATATCAAGTAGGCATTATAATTACCTGCATGATCTCATGCTCCCACACCAGCTGCTGCAAGTTTTTGAAGTATAAGGCCTCATTTTGGATAATAACATGACATGGACCCCTAATTTCTGCTTTAGCCACCCCGAAATTGATAGTGGCCCCCAACCGAGCATTTTACGAAAGATTTGTATTGTTCTACTCGTAGTCTTCCAGTAATTGGCACAAAAAACTATACCAGTAGATAAGCTATAATACATTATTGAATGCATTGCTCTATGTGATATTCGGAAATTATGTTGCGAACACTTCTGGTACATCATTAAGCAACAAATATCATATTGATTTTTCATCTTTATTCAGTTTCCGAGGAGTTAAAAAGATAACTTGCAATCAGGTTGATGGATCCCAATAATATAAACGGATGAGTTTACTCTGCATTGCTTTGAGCCTCATGTGTCGATATGTAGAGTTAAGCTTCAACTTCTCTGTTGGCCAGAACGCGAAATTGTAAAGGTGGTTTATCTTTATTGTTAATAGGGGCCAAAACGCGTGAAAGGTTTACTGCCGTCAAGCCTTTAATGTTATAAATTCCAACGCGGCTTGATAATAAATCCCACTGATTTCAAGACAATACATTTCTGCTAACCACCCGTCTGCTGAACTAAAAGTGTTAATACAAAAACAGAGCTTACCATTTTGCAGAAAAGAATTGACACGGTTCGCTCATTTCATTTGGATGCAAGTGCAACTATGTTATAGGCAACGAACAATATTGCCAAACGTAATGGTTCACGTCTTATGTACGTGCCTAAGTAAGAGACTTAACATGCGTGAAGCATCGGGGGGTACAGCAAACTGCCGTTTTTATTTACAACCTTGTAAGTTTTACAGTGAGTTATAGAAGTTGGACTGTATCACTTGTTATCATTTACAGTATACTGCGTTGTTTGGCTCGGTGACGGTTAAAATAATTTTAAAATGACTAAGAAATAGATGGCGTTTCTCAAAATTAGAGGAAGGGTTAACTAATTCCATATACTTTGAGATTACTTGCTAGCCTTTTGCTGGGCATGCCTATATGCGCGGATCGCCCACTATGATCGCCGATTGTGCGGGATTGGATAGATTTTCATTTTTTTAGCATAGATTCAATAATTCCTTATTTGTACATTTCTTGTTTATCGTTATAACAAAAACCTGTAAATCAACAGGCCGACTTTGTTTACTACTTACTGGCCCCTCCATATACGAGTACAGTAACCAAAGTTAAGTATACTTGACGGTTTACTTCTCCTTATACACGACGCATACCTGAAAACTGGTGCGTGGTGAAGCGCCTATAGATACATAGATACATAGATATAAGTATATAAATATATAGTCGGTAGATTAGAACATGGCAGAAGTGTATGGCCAGTTCGACTATCCTCTTGTTTACAACGAACAAAATACGTGGTCGAGATTGATGAATGCTCCTACAGAATGGTTGATGAACACTCTGGAAGATTATGAAGGTGTTGAATGGGATGATTTGTCATTGAAAATGAGGTGAGCGCAAGGGCGTATGTGATGATTAGGGAATCAAAAAATGGCAGCTATTGAATAAGCTTGTACACTTGTGGAAATCGATCTACAGAGAGAGGCGAATTAATTTTTACTAACTGCGGCAATGTAACTTACTATCATGTTAGTTGGATAACTGCTGGTATGTTAAATAGCGCTCTTATTGCAATAAAACTCGCGTGTTGTTCTGATCAGACTGGAATGGCGAGGTTCGATGATGACTTGGTAGGTGTATAAATGAGTAGGAAAACTGTTTAGTTTGTTTGGAGACAGTTTGTTGATGAAATGTCCCCACTTCACTAGTTATGGTTCACAGAAGCTGGACTCATAGCAATAAGCTGCATCAATGCGCTTGCTGTATTTATGGCAACGAAGACATATCGAATGTTTAACCACGACAAACGCGTGAGTACCGAGCTTATAGATACAGATATAATTGCATACGTGCAATGTATGCAAAATAGTCGGTCGCGGGGGCGTACTTATTCCTTGAACCGGTTGTGCCAATTTATCCCGTTAGCTGATCTATCGTTAATTAAAACATACCTCAGTCTCGACCAATATCCCAAAACGTTCGACTTGTCGATAAGAACCAAGTAGACCCAGAATGGACTCACTCCGGACTAGGAGCTTGTCTGTAAGAATCTCTTGTCTATCACACCACCCTCTTTTGCTTTGAGATTACGACTCTATTTCACCCGATTCAAAAAACGAAATACAGAACATTGGCCATACAATACGTTTTTAAATCAGCGCATCAACAAATCAGCGAGGATCTCGTATGGGAATTAAGCATGTGGAATCCGTCTTCATTTACCCTGAATCTATTTATGTAATTAATTATGCTAATTGATCCTTTAGAATAGTTGTTAGATTGAGATAACTCACTTGACCCATATTATTCAGATTCTTCTCTCCAGTGCAAGCTCTTGTTCTCCACGGGATAGACAAAGATAATTATCAGTACTATTTGGTGGTGGCGGCAGTAGTCTGTATGCAGGTAATGATACCCTACCAGACAGATATGGTTGATTCTCACGCGTCGATATACCGTTATCGCACGCAGTAAACAAACTCCCATCAATTGAACGTATCATTTACTATACGCGTCTATATATATGCTCTTTGCTCATATGCTCTATGTTTTATCATATTTTTTTGTCTTTGCAGGTGTACGTTTTAATTAACACGTATATTAACCATCTTCAAGACAAACAAATAGTTTTTGAGGAAGTGTCATACGAATATAATTACAAATTCGTATATCCGCGGATATTCAAGCGTAAGATATCACGTCGATGTCAGACCGAAGCTTACGATGGGGCTCATTGTCCCGAAATACAGGATAGAGATCCGGCTGAATCTGAATCAATCTCATCTGACGATACACAGTCCACCATCGGGACTCCTGAATGAGAGATGAGGATGTGGTATATTTGAGGACGAGGTGGCGAGTAATGGAGTGAGTAGGTGAATGTAAAATATTTATGCCGCGACGGGCAAGAAAGTGAGCATTTCATTTGTAAATAAAATCAATGGCACTCTAGTTTGGCTTTCCTTGAGGGCGTACTGCGCACAGAATGACGACAAATTGTCGTGCCCATTAGTAACATGCTGCAACATAATAATAGTGTACAATTTCAATATAAAAACAAACTTTTTTTCCCCGCCTTTTCAACATTTCAACATTTTTGGTTCCAGTAAGATAATAAGAATATAAAAAACAATTATAATTAGTTTTCATATATTGTAGATGATAAACAAATAAACCGCAGATTGTGACACGTGACGCAATTGACGCGCACGCGACTTGCGAATATAGAAGTAAACATTTCTTTAAAAGCATAAATAAAATCCTGTTTGTGTATTTTTTCCCTTTGCACTAATTATCTCGACATATTACTTTGAATTTTTGTCAGTACGATGGATGAGTATCCATATGAAAGCAATTTACACCCTGGTATAGATAGACAAGGTTCCGCATGGTCAAATGTAATCGACTCACCTGCAGACTGGGCTACTTCGTTCTCAGAGGACTATGAGGGAATGGCGTGGGTGAAACTCTCTACCAAATTGAGGTGCCCGAGAAATATAAAGTGATTAGAGAATAGCACGAAAGACATATTTATTGATTACGTTTATTTTTACACTATGATAGTTGTATGGTTGCGGGAATGCTGAATTCTGCATTTTTGCTGATAAAGTATTTGCATAGCTTTGAGTATCCTATATCGCCACATTATCAGAAAAAAGAGTATCAGCGGACTGCGTTTTCTTCATGGGTATGTACTTGTGTCGAAATCATTGGTATATAGTATGCGATGCGATGCGATGCTAACCTAATACTTGATATTAATTTCAGTTGACTTTGGCAGAAATGACGCTAGTTGCTATAAGCCTTTTAAATACCGTGTTTGTGGTTTTACCTTCAAAATCATATCGAATGTTCTTACACGATAAGAACGTGAGTAGTTTTTAATGCTTCTACTATGCTCGTTAATAACCGTCCTATTAACGTAAGAGTAATATAGTCTCCTCCACAGTCATCACATGCTTATCTTGTAGACAGAGATGTTGTGTTTGCCAGAGGAGTAAAGGAGTGTGTACGCGTTGCAATGAACAAGCTGAGAATGAGAAAGTTACATGAAGATGAAGAAGTTGTATGGGAATTGAAGATTTGGCATCCTTGGCAATTCAACTGGAATCTGTTCATGTATTTATATTGACACGACATAAAAGTGGAAGCGCGTTTTGAAAACAAAATTCTAACAATTATCAATGATTAGGTTATTTTCTCCTGTACAGTCTTTCGTTTTGTACGGCGTGAACGAAGATAATTATCATTTTATGATTCCATTGGCAGCATCAGCCTGTGTGCAGGTATATTAATAACAGCGTTGAGTATTTTATATTTATTGTTTACATTAATGCTAATCATGTTGATATTCTTTTTCTAGTTATGTTTTCTTGTTCATTTGTATAACGGCTATACTCGCGATAGGAAAGCATTGTACGAAGAAGTTGCCTACGAATACGACAAACAATTTGTCTATCCAAACGTTATTAAAATCAGAGCTGAAAAGCAGATTCAGACTGAGGAGGAACAACCATGGGACAGATTTAACATATCAAGCTCATCAGAAAGACATGATATCATGAGACGGTCAGAACACAGAAACAAAAAGCAGAGCACTGGATATTAAAGACAATAATTAGTACTGATTAAAAAAGCCGATCACAGTTATAAATTTACTTTCTTTAATTCGATGCCTTTATAGGTACATTTAAATAATTGCTTTTATTTGTCAAATTGAATTTATTATCATAGATATATTCAAGTCGGTGACGTTTGAATTGAAATTCTTAAATTAGCCGTCAATGGCATAAACAAAATTTATTAGCAGCAATCACTCTAATAAGTGGCCACTGTCTCTTAACTTTTGAACGTCTTACTCGCATTAACTCCCAACTTATCACATCAGTCAGAAGCCAAACATCAACATATGCTAACCGCATAATGCATAAACTATTGATAATTTCATATTCGGTCATCTTGCCGAGCCATATTCTAATACCTGGAAAATTTATCAACGTCGAAGCCTTTGTTGGGCCACCTGATACTACGACTATTAGCTAAATGCTCAAGTTCGCTCAGGAAGTCAACTACAGGTGACACACCGTTTGGATTGCTGAAGTGGTATCTGTCTTCATTCGGAAGAACTGTTTGGCGACTCGGAGAGAGCTCAACTTCGTCATATTCATCGTCCGTGGTATTATCGGCAAACTCTGGAGGACTAATAGTAAATACATTGAAATTTTCACTTGCGAAAGATGACCCCATGGCAGATTCTAGTCTAGACAAAATGTCAGACAATCCATTTACATCTGCGGGCACGGCTTGTTCTACTTGCTCTTCAACAAGAACAAAATTCGGACTATGAACATCAATAGCCAAACGTCTCAGCATATGCTCGACTTCACCTTTATTCATGCCAACCGGAAACAGTACTCGCAATTCTCCATTCATAATTTTGACTTCGAATTTCCCATGTCCGAGCAACAACCTCAGAATAGTCAACACGTTCAGAATATGGTTGTATCTCGCTTGAAAAATATCGTCGAGATTACGAATGAATGCAGAATCCAATGGTATATTACGCGTTTTATCGATTAATGAATCCAATTGTTGATCCTCGTTTATTGGGTTGTTCATAATCGTGATCATAGAGTTAAAAGATCCACCCACGAGCGACTCAACGTCCAATGGACAAAGTTTAACTGACATTTGAATCTGTGTTGCAGTTACCAGAATTGATGAACTATTGAAAGATTCTTGATAAATAACTTGGCTGTCATCAGACTCTGATTCATCGTCCTCGTTTGTCTTTTCACAAAATGGCATCTCCTTGGCAACAGACGTTCCAAACGGCATAACGTTCCTCAGATTGAACATATTGAAACTAGTGGTCTTCTCGGAATTCTTGGTTGTTTTCTTTTCACACTCTGAATCCTTCTTATTAGTCACGTCACGCATAATTCTATCCTTAATATCCTGTTTCTCCATCCATCGAGTCCCAAGTTTATTCGGAAGGGCTGCGAAAGGTTTAGCGTAGAATTGAGAGAGGCTCCCGTTGACAGTCGCAGCATTGTTTATGATTTTAGCACCAGCACCACAGGTAAAATTACGTCTGATTGAATATCTGAACGCATCTCTCGTGCTACAGTGTCGCAGGTATACTGCGCTAGTAAGCAAAGTATTATTGGGATGCTTCTGAGCAAAGCTAAGCCTCTCGAATTGAATATATGTGTGTTTGTATAATGGATTGACAGAGTTTGCAATGGGAAAAGCCTTCTTGATCAACTCGAAAAGTTTATTTTCTTCACGAACTTCCTGACCACTTTTAAGTGATTTAAACGATTGTTGGAATGATACTAATTGATGTTGTATGTTACTAACTTGACCCAGGTTATTTGCACGCACTTTTGGCGCAGTATTGTTAAAAGTAGGGACTTTGGCCCAAATGGACGCCGCTAAGCGACCCACGGGCTCTGTCCAAGTCTTTATTTTCGGCAGCATCGCTGCAAGTAAGTGTATATGTCTACCTAACTTGTCACTATCAAACAGAAAGAAAATGAAATCAGTGATAATTAATAATGTTACGGAACCGGCAATATGCAAAACTCCGCCTATTAGTATTACTATTATTAATGCTGGTGTTACCTGTTAATGGCCCGTTCCCATGTATTACAGTCGGAATTTTACAGATCATATCTCGAAATATGATTGGTTTAAATACAGAGAATTTGATGGCATCAAAGCTAACAATCAGAACACTCTTCCGAGTGAATAGCTTCATAATCCACCGCGATCCACGCAACCTTGGGAAGAGTTAAAAAACGAGTGACGAACTTTGGTAGAATGACAGACATCTATTTTAATAATTTGGAAAAAAAAAATATCAGCCGGCTTGCAAAGTAGCTTCTTCTCAATTCAAGTTTTAGAAACACACGCCTTGTTACGCAACAACTATTATAATGAGTTCGAAATTAGAAGCAAAAGCCCTACCTTGTATATTCAACTCTCTTTCCAAGGAATATCATGATAGTCAATTAATGCAATGTGAAACTAAAGAGAATCAACGATGGAGACATGGGTCGGCTACTGCAGCTAACTCTTTATGCGAAAAGCCCTACAACCATATTATTGCCAGAAAATATTTTATTGAACAACTAAACAGGATGATTTAAGTCTTAAATACAGAAGTAGAGAGTAAAAGAAGAAAACTTACTGATGATCGTGATCTATCTGAAAAAAGTTTTTCCGATTTTGGACGAGTTGGAAAATCTTAATAGACGATTACTATCAGAAAATGAGGCGCTGAAAAGACTGTTAGATGGAAGGCTCACTAACGAACAAGATCGTTAACGGATATTGCTAAAATGGAACGACGTAATGTATATAATGATATAACTAGTTTAATGAAAAATCAAAAACGACTTATTTAGATAATCTTTTAGAGTATTCTCCTTCAAAATGGCTTTCTGAGCGAAATCCAGTTATAGCTTTTTAAGTGTGCAGTAGCAGTTGATGCTATATACGGATCAAGGCACTTAAAATATGTATCAGCAATTAAATATTCGTTAGTAAGGTCAAAAACGGTTATCGACATTGATAACCATATAATGAGCTCTAGCGGAAGTTTACTGATTGGTTAGAAACTTTAGCTACAGAACAGCCATCACTTCCCAAGGTTTCTTATTTTTGGCCTTTGACAATGAACATTATTGGGTTTTTGGCAACCGATTCCAATAATAGGTGAAGAATCGGATCATCAGAAGGCTCTCAGAACGATTGCGTTTTCGAGGCTTATCGAACAAATCCCATCAAGAAATTCGTATTAGTATTAATACTAATATAATAAAAAATATATTCTCGACATCTGACTTTCAGACTTTTCCATAGTCTAATGCTAGAAATTTCTAGAATTGTTTTCTTACGTGATATCAGATCACAAAGTTTCATTATTCGAAATCCTTTATTACAATATCACTTACGAGTTACCTTAAACGCTTTAACTGACTAGCGCGCTATTTGCGTTTTTACTTACGACAGGATCAGTTAATATCAAGGAGATAGAACGATAGAAATGTTTCAGAAGAACACTTTGAATATTATTACAAAGGCATCTATCAATGTCATGACAAAAGGGATGGGACGAGTGAAGTGTGGTTTCAGAACAAGATACAGTAGCTAAGTAGTGATATTCTGGCGATGAAAAACTTTCATATAGTGACAGATACATAAACGATCAATAAATAATTTTCAATCACAATCTTGTTTTATTTTCTGGTTTTGTTTCAACAATGAATACCATCGATAATATCACTCCTAACGAAAAGCGAATGATAAACCAATCTATCTAGAGACATAGGAATTACAATGCACACACCAAGCTATAGAAAGTATATATGGGAAAGTAGAGATACAATCATTGATACAGCTATCGATTCAGCGACTGATGCAACAACTGGTCAATCGCCAAATAACCGACCGCGTAGCTTCCTCGATGTCTAAATCTCAACACATCACATTTCAAGAGTCAAGAAACTTAGTACCCATAAACAAAAGTCACCGGCTTCAACAACTGCTCATAAAATCTACCTATATTGCTGCTCTACGATCTAGCTGACGTCTCACACTTTCTCGTTATTGTTCAACATTCTCCCTCAAGTCTCTTTTGTTGAATAATCCCATCCTTGACAGCCAGCTTTCCGTTCGAGTATTCTTTGCGTATTCTCTTTAAACCAGTGGGGAATCTAATAGAAACTTATTTTCTAAAACTCTATACCGCTCTTATCGGACGTCATCGTCTTCTGATCTAACATCTTCTGGGTCAATGTGCCACAAACCGTTCTCCAGGAAACTTTTACGTCTGTCCTGTTTTATCTCGCCTGTTCCAAACAGCTTTCTGAATAACGTACTAATTACGAAATGCCAAGGTTTTCCTTCATCATAGTCTGAGGGGAGCACTTGAGACAGGTACCGCATAACTATTAGCAACATAAAGTACCCTGGTATACCCATTGCCTGACGGTTCCAAGCTTGCCTCATCGACAATGCTGAGAGCGCGGTAAAATGCAAAAGGAGGCCACGTCAAGTTTTTTGATGTTGTAGTGAAAATTGACTTGTCGCTATGTTAATAATTACGGCCGCTTGTTAATAATAACGCATAAAATAACTAGAGAAGTACAGGTCTTGTTGAATATTACCGCAAAAAGAAATGCCAGGGGCTATCTGCAAGTGTCCCCAGATCAAGAAAAGTAGAGAACGGGCGGTGAGGGGTTCTAGAAAAGAATTCCATTTTAAAGACTAGTCCGCTTGCCACAAAGAATGCAGAATTGATGCCGTGTAGAATGTAAAAATGGATATAGTGCGTCATGTATTAAGCGCAGTTTTCATACGCATCATAACCAAAACTTTGTTCTCCTTTTCTTTGACTAGTGTGATTACAAATGTGGATCCGCCACCATCTTGCTATCATTGACCTTTGCATATAATGGTACTGTAGGAGAGCTTCGACTTCATGTAAGATGGTTTCACGGTCTCAGACATCATATTAGTCTTCTTCAGAGATATATTTGTCAATTAACCATTCATTCACAGTTTTGACAGGGAGATAGCTGGCAAAATACCTACTAAACATGGTAGGGAAAATACTGATCCTGGAAAAGAAGTTAAGCGTTACACATACGCATCGATTATTAGTGTTGAGAATGCTTTGTACTTGAAAACTTCTTATTCGAACGATGTCCTTAGTTCCAGGGGTCAATAATCCAGCGATTGACAACTTGGTTCAATCCTCCTTGGAAAGTGAAGATAAATACTTACGACTTGAATGGATTCC